TTTCTTTCCCACCTCTCCCTGTGGATTGAGGTGGGTGACAGATTAATAGTTAAAAACACATAACATTTGTTAAAGCGCATAAACTGGTTAAAACATATAGCATTAGTTTAAAAGAACATGTAAGACCATATTAAAACAATCAGTCCATAGTTTAATATTCATAATTTGAAATTCATAATTTAAAAATCATCTGGATAGGCCTGCAAGAAGAGAGTGGATTTTAATGCTGCTTTAAATTCAGACAGCTATCAAATCTCTTCTGGCAAATTGTTCCACAGTCCAGGGGCAGCTGGAGAAAATGTCCTCTGGGTGACAGTTGCCAATATAGGCCTGGCTAACTGGAGTAAATGTCCCCCAAAAGACCTGAATGTATGGGGCAGATTATATGGGAGAGATACTCAGACTGAGAGTTCTGTGCTTTCTAACACTAGTAGCAGCTGTCCCCAATCTGCTGCTTTTCAGATGTGTTGATCTAAGACTCCCATAATCTCCAACCAGCACAGCCTCAGGGAAATTATAGACCAACACACCCAGAAGGCACCAGGTTGAGAAGAACTGTTAGTAAATATGACTAGGTAGTCTTCAACTCATATGTACTGCCAGGATTTTCTCTTATACTTCAGCTTTAAATTCTGTCTGATAGGGAGGGGATGCAAGCAAAGCTAAAGCCTTCTGTCCTCCCTCTAGCAGTCAGCAGTACTGATTGCTGTAGGGGTGTGTGCTTGGGTATGTTTGTGTATGTACTTGGGTATATTTGTGTGTATGATTTCCAAGTGTGTGTGTATTGTGAATTGATATGTGTGGATGTACATATGTGTGGGGCGTGGTTCTGGTGATTGCCAGGGAGGTCCAGTGTAACCCCAGGACACCAGAAGTTGCTCACCCGGGATTTAAGGAAGCACATAAATCAGGGATGGGTAATTTTGAAGAGGGCAGGAACAGGACCTCTCCACAACCTACAGCATTACAATTACCAATGACCTAATGTACCATCAGGTTATGAATTTGGGCTGAAAAATTAGTGATTTTCCGGTCCCCCCCCCCCCAAGGTTTTAGTTGTTTGGATAGGGAGGTATTGCAGGAAAAGGGATCCAAACTGCCATGTTCTTGGGGCAACTTGGGTGGTTTGAGGGCATTTTGGGGGGGGGGGGACAAAAATTGGCTGGAATGTTAAAATTTCTTTTTGGTAAGATCTGGGTCTTCGGGGAGTTGCATGGGAGGGGGTAAGATGGTCAGTATGGATCCCAGGACCCACAATTTTTACACATTTTCCTTAAGTGACCCTTGTTTGGATAGGAGCAAAACTAAATCCTCCTTCTCCCTTGTTGGCGATTATTAAACATAAGTTAGATGGCTGCCTCTCAAAGATGCATTAACTGTTAGATGGACCTTGGAGTACCACCCAGCTCAGTAATCTACATTTTTTTACATCGTGTTCTGAAGTGATGAAATACCAACATGCATGTTTGGCTTCATAAATGTTGCCTGTCTCAATGGGTCTTTTAGGAAATGACACTGTATGATCTTTCATTTTTTGCAGAAAGAGAAATTTCCCTCTACAGCCAAAGAGAACTCAGTTTATCTACCCAAATAAGCACTGTTTGGTAAGTTTCCTGTTTCTGTACAGTGGTGCAAAAGTGCCACCCAGACTGATGGCAGGGGATGGGGTGGAGGCCAGGAAGGGGACAAGAAATAAAAACAACAACACAGAGTTGATTATATCAGTGTCACAGAACTTCTGTGCAGATGGTCTGTATGCAGCTTCAGGCAGTGATTACCATCCACTCTCTTGACCTGAAACAGGCAAAGGAGCTTTTTGCTTTTTAGCTTGTTTCTTGCAGCTAATGACAGTTACTGAGGTGCTTCATCCTAGTCCCTTAGATGCAGAGGAAGAAAGGGACCATAAGCAACAAAAGGTGTCTTATGGTTACAGCAAGTGAAGTTGGCAGCATTTAAAGAAGAACTCAGGAGGCAAGTTATTTCTGTAGCTCTTTTCTAATGTAGTGTGTTTGCTACTTTGGCCTGGAGGAATCTTTACTCTCTTGGTACTTGGAGAAGTTGTGCTTGCAGCCTTCTCCACCCATCTAAAAATATAGATGTCTCTGTTTTCTGCCAGCAAGGCTACTATATATTTTTATCACCCTTTTTTGGATGGGCGGGATCTGTATACTATGAACCTAATTTCTCTCATATTTAGTTCAGTTTATTTATTTCTGAGTTTTTAAAATAGTACTGATGTTGACAGCATCACTGAAAGCCAAGAGATAAAAAAAAAATTGACAGTTATCTTTTGGGGGAGAGTGAAGGGGATGGGAAGGAAAATTCTTGCAGCTGAGTTGAAAAATTGTGTTTGAACTTTTTCCTGATGCCTGCATGACTTTGGAATGTTCTCCCTTCCACTTTTCACTGTTAGTACTGTCTGACAATAATCCTGAGGTGTCAGTTATTAGTACTTCTCTCTTGTGTTTCCTTTTCAATTTTTTTGCATAAGTTGATGGATTAAGGGAAGAAGCAGTGCTCTGTGATTTGGCTACATAGGTCATCATGTAGACAAATTTGCACTGACTGTGTAGTATCTTCATGAAGCCAAGTCATAAGGCACTGCTCCCCCCCCCCCCACACACACACTGGTATCTTCCTGGAATTGAAAATGGAGGGGGGGAGTGAACAATGGACTTTGTCCCACTGCTAACTAACCCTTTCTCGAGTTCCCTTATAAACCACTGAAATGCCACTGACATGCTGTATCCATCAAACAAGGTGATGAAGTAGGGATGTACACCTTTACTCAGCCCTTGAAACTGTGTTCTTCTCATCACTTCCAACCCCATCAGGCTGCATCTGCTCTGCAAAAATAATCTTGGTTGACACCACTTTAACTGCCATGATTGAATGCACTGAAATTCTGTGAACTGTAGTTTGTTGTAGCACCAGAGCTTTCTGACAGTGAAGGCTAAATGTCTTACAAAACTACAATTTCCAGAATTCCATAGCATTGAGCCATGGTGGTTAAAGTGGTGTCAACATGGATTATTTCTGTATTGCGGATGTAGCCTCAGTTCCATCAGTTAAGTCCTCTTTTTCCATAGCCTGCTGTTGCTTCACAGTGGTTTTGTGAAGTTGCTAACGTGGTAGCTTTATGAGTGTCACCTTGAAGTAAATGTTACTAGCTTCCTTGCAAGCTCTAGTGGCAATGTGGTTTCCCTCACCTCCTTGCCCTTGATGGTGGTGTGGAAATAGGTTTTGAAATGGTATCTCTTGATCCTCAACAAACAAAAGCTTTCTGAGTTGTACAGAAGTCAGGTTAAATTACGAAGGAAGGAAATGGGTGTGTGTCCATTGCATCTGTTAATGTGCACAAGGGACAGTTTGTTGGGGAAACTAGGGAACTTATCACATTCACAATTAAAAGGTCTTACCTGAGCCAGCTTAAAATTTTAAACGGGCAGCATCCTGATCTTATCACAAGGATTTAGCTGCCAAATTTGCTGCCCGGGTCCAGCCTGGGTCCATCCCTGTTTGCAGGGGCACTCAGAGCGCCTTTTTTCAAAGCCGAGAGTTTTCTCACTTAAGGAAATGGCTGCTGGAGCACTCCTGTAGCAGTTGGAAAGAATGCAAATGCAAGTAGATAAATAGGTACCATTTTGGTGGGAA